CGGCGGAAACCCCATGCCAGGCTGAAACAGAGGCTGCTAACCAGACACCGAATGAGCTTCTCCCATGTGCAAATGTTTGTAGGCGCTGGGGAGACTTCAAGGTGAAACAGACTTGATTCCAGCTCTCCCGACACTCCCATTTTAGGAGGAGAAGCAGTGGAGTGGTGATGTGTGTGCGTCCAAAAAACCAAACTCACTGCCATTGAGTTGGATCCGACTCATAGCGACCCCTTCTTGGGTTTGTGAGGCAGTATCTCTACGGAAGTAGATTACCCAACCTTCCTTCCAAGCAGCGCTGGTGGGTTTGAACCACCAGCCTTCTGGTTAGCAGTCAAATGTCTTAGGTACTACGACACCAGAGCTCCCGGTGTGTGTGTGTTGTGTGTGTGTCAAAAAGGGATTCCTAGAAGGTTGGTTTGAGAGCTGGATCTTAACATAAGTAGAGCTCCAACAGGCAGAAGAGTGGGGGAAGGGAAGGGTGTTCCAGGCAAAAAGAGGCTCCTGAGCGGAGTCAGGGAAGCAGTGTGTTTGCCCCCTGGTTTGTACAAACGGTTAAGGCACTTGGCTGTTAACCCAAAAGTTGAAACCCGAGTGCACCCAGAGAGGTCTGGGAAGAAAGGTTTGGTGATCTGCTTCTTAAAGACCCGCCCCTGAAAATCCCGTGGAGCACAATTCTACTCTGACACACGTGGGGTCGGAGCAGTTGAAGCCAGCCTGATAGCAAGTGGGACTGGGAGTTTGCCATGCAGGTAAGCTGGTGTGGCTTCTTGGGAGGGTGGGAGGGTGTGGAGGGAGGTCAAGGGCAAGAGGAGCCAAATTGCGCTGAGTTCTTCAGCCTCCACAAAGTGCGAGTATGGAGTTAGGCAGGGACGAGATGATATCAGTTCTTGAAGGGGAGAAATGGTGGAAGGACAAGCCTAGGGAACACTGAAGGCGGACCAGACCAGAGGCTATGTATGGCAGGAATTGCACGAGCCTTGGGCGCCACTGGGGCTGGGGAGACACCAATGAGCGGTTTTCTATTTGCCATTGCAGTTTTCCGCCGCCAACTGTGAGAGATCTTTCAACAATTTAAAACTAATTGCCGTCGGCACTATTTTCCATAGATACGCCTCTGGATGAGACAAATGGAGTCTGATTAAAGGCATCCCTGCGGAGCGAGTGTGCGCTGAGCCGCCCCGAGGGCTTTCCCAGGCTGGATCAGATTCACCTGTAGCAGGCGGATCACAAGCGACCTTCCCTTGAACCCCATCAGGAAATCACCGCGAAATCCCTCACTCCCATAAATTAAGGACGACCACGGTAGCAAGGACAATTTGGGGAAAAACAGCACTGGCCTCGCAGCTGTCCCTGCCAGCGGGGGTCTTTAACACTCACTGGCCTGGGGCTGGGAGCGGTCATGCGCGTAGCATCACATTGGTGTCCTAAATCAGTTCTGTGCTGTGAGCCAACAGGGCGTCCCAGTTTGGAGGGGGGGAGGGAGCCCGCTTTCTGATACTGGAGCAAACCAGCCCCACCTTCCAGGGGGCATTGTTGTTGTTATTTGCCGTCGAGTTGGCCCCGACTCATAGCGACCCCTCCTTGGGTTTCCGAGGCAGTATCACTACGGAAGTAGGATTGCCCAACTTTCCTTCAGAGGAGTAGCTGGTGGGTTTGAACCGCCAGCCTTCTGGTTAGCAGTCAAGTGCCTTAGGCACTATGCTACCAGAGCTCCCCCAGGGGGGACATTAGCAGGTAGCATTTGGGGATGGCAGAGAATAAAGGGAGAGAGAGCAGAGAACTTTCCCCTTACAACAAACTTGCAGTAACTTCCAGTTACAGGAGCTTCCTCAGCCAGCCAGGACGGGTGCATTTACCAGACACCACCACAGCCCGCCCCTCCCAATCTCTCCAGTCAGCCTCTGAGCTCCAAGCGCCTAATTGATGAAAAACAGATTTTAGGACCAACAAGGGTTGCAAGAAGCTCCCATATGTTACACCCCAGACTCAGGAATTTCTGAGACAGTATATTTGAAATATCTGATTGCACTGTCTCTATAAATACATGAATGTTTGTCAGATCCTCTGTTCTGTGATCTTCACAGAGGCTCTATATGGCAGGTGCTGTTATTATATTCCCAGGAGCTCTGGTAGCATAATGGCTAAAGCACTTGACTGCTAACCAGAAGGCTGGTGGTTCAAACCCACCAGCCACTCCTCGGAAGGAAGGTTGGGCAATCCTACTTCCGTAGTGATACTGCCTCGGAAACCCAAGGAGGGGTCGCTATGAGTCGGGGCCGACTTGACGGCACATAACAACAACAACAACATTATCATATTCCCATTTTATAGCTGGGGAAACAGAGGCTCCGAGAGGTTAAGAGCTTGCCCAAAGTCATGCAGCCCGAAGCTGTGGTGCTGACACTGTGCCTGTCTGTCTGATGATGAAGCAAAGGGAAACACAGTTTTTACGGATGCTGGTCCCACCACCAAAGATTGCTCAGTCGGACTAGGGTGAGGGAAGGGAGACCTTCACTTTGATTGTAAAATGTAAGAGATGCCTAAACCCCCAGTAATCAAGATAAGTAATATTTTCATGCAATATTTAAAAAATCAAAATTAACGCAAGAATTCACAATAAAAAAAAAATAACATTTTAAATAGAGACTCTACCGAGTGAAGCAGGATGGGCAGGGTTGGGTGGTAGGTGGGAGTTCTTTATGGATTTGTCCAATCTGAGCTGAAGTTCTCATTCCTGGAGGTGGTTTAGAGACTTACTCATCCTTTTCTCTTTCTTTAAGCTCTTAGGAAGTGTGTCTTTCCTGCCTTCTCCTTGAGTTAAATTCCAAACAAAGAGTTGAGCAACTGGGCAATAAAGATTCCCACGTGGAACCGAGAGTGGGTTTGGAGCCATATGGGAATGAATGAATGTCAGCTTGCTGTGCCCTGCTTCACGCCACTGCTGCTGCTCCTGAGGGGACCCTGCAAGAGAACCCAGGGCCTCTCCTGAGTAGGGGAACCCTATCCTCAGGTCTGAACCTATGAGCAGTGTGGGACATTCAGCAGAGGGTGCCCATGTGTACTAGGGGTGGGCAGCTGCTTGGCATCTGAGCTTAGCCCTGGGCCATTCACTGAAATGAAGAATGATGAGATTTTTGCCTGAGCCCAGAAGGCTCTTGGTTTTGCCCATCCTCTCACAACGCCCTTGCTCACAGGTCTGGGAAGGCGGCTGGCCACAGCCTTTGTAGAGAGGCAGAGCTGGAGGAGGAACAGATGCAGGCACTACAGAGGGGAAGGCTGTTCAGCTACATGCACAGTCAAGTCACTGAGAGTTCTTTGGGGAGGAGAAGCAAAAAAATGCTCCAATTCTCAGTAAATCTCCAACCAGGCGGGGGATTTAAAGGGCCCTTCTTTTTAACAGAGAACCTCTGGTGGAACAGTGGTTAAAGCATTTGACTGCTAACCAAAAGGTCAGCTGTTTGAACCCACTACAAAAGGTCAGCTGTTTGAACCCACTAGCTGCTCCTTGAGAGAAAGATGTGGTAGTCTGCTTCTGTAAAGATTACAGCCTTGGAAACCCCACAAGGGCAGTTCTAGTCTATAGTCCTATAGGTGGCGTAGTGCCTAAGGCATTTGCTGGCTAACCAGAAGGCTGGTGGTTCAAACCCACCAGCCACTCCTCAGAAGGAAGATTGGCAATCTACTTCTGTACAGATACTGCTTCGGAAATCCAAGGAGGGGTTGCTATGAGTCAGATCCTACTTGATGACAGTAAGTTTGGCTTGGTATAGGGTCCTATTAGGCTGCTATGAGTTGCAATTGACTTAACAGTAATGGGGCTTTGGTCTATTTAGCAAGTTAGGTGGTGCAAATAGTTAATGTACTTGGCTGCTAACCGAAAGGTTAGAGATTCGAATCTACCCAGCAGTGTCTTAGAAGAAAAGCCTGGCAATCTAGTTGGAAAATCAGCCCTTGGAAACCCTATGGAGCAGAGTTCTGCTCTGACACACGTGGGGTTTCCATGAGGCAGAAGCTGTTTGATGCAACAGTTTGTTGTTGTTGTTGTTTCTCTTTGGCAACCAAGGGACAAGTCGTGGTTATTACAATCTGTTTGACTATATCTAGGGGGTTTATTCAAGCACAAATATCATTAAAAATGCTTGAAATCCAACTGAAGGCTGTGGGACTGGAGGCCTGAGAGCCTGGATTAGAGCTCACGTCTAGGTTTCCCTGGGAGTGAGGGGTTTCCTGGGACACAGGAGTGGGCAAACTGGAATGGACTTGTCAGTTTATTTCAACCCATTCTAGCAGCGTCCCCTCAAACGTTCAGTGTCTCATTTTCCCCATGTACAGAATGAGAGTAATAAAACTTGCTGTCATTTGGATACATCATCATGAAAAGCTAGTGGCTAGTAAAGGACACAGTTGGTAAAGTAAGGGGTTGGCAAAAATGAAGGACACCTTCAGTGAGATGGACTGACACAACAGTCACAAAAGTGGACTCCAACACACCAACGATCATGAAGGGACACAGGCCAGACAATCTTTTGTTCTGTTGTACATAAGGTCAACCCAAGGCAGAAAGCTGACGCCACATCAACCACCACCAATCACAACCCACCTTGTGAACTCATGGGACTCAAAGGAGGCAACGGGTGTTTCCCACAACACCTTAAACCACCCTGTCCTAACACCTCCCACTGCCAGACAGTCCTTTCAGCCTCTTTGTCTTCCCAGTCTGAGCTCTTGGGAGGCAAGACCACCTTATCTGTCTCTGCACTCCCATGTTCATTCTCTTGCTGACCCAGGAACTCTGGGGATACAGAGTCCGCCCCCACCATCAGAGAATCCTAGAACTCCGAAGGGCAGAAACCCCAAAGGTCACCTGATCTAGCCTCGTGCCTTGGGGTAAGTTAGGTAGTACTGTTCACATCTCATGGTGGGGCAACTGGGAGGATGAATGACCTCCCCAAGGTCACACAGTTAGTACAGGAACAGTTGGCTGCTCTCCAGCCACTTACCTGAACTCTCCTTTTTCCGTCGGGTTGACTTCTTCTCCGTCTCATTGGCAGTGCTCCCAAGAACCCCGTAGTCCTCACATGGGCCTCCCAGGGCATCCACCAAGCCTGGGCTGCTGGCCCCCATCTCCCGCGAGCCCCCAGCTGGGCCCGGATTGAGCCTGCGCCGGGCCTCTGTGACAGGGAAGTGCCATTCAGGGGGCTGTGGGAAGGCGGGGTGCTGCTCAGTGAAGACACGCTCCTCCCGGGGCAGGCTGTGTGGTGTGGCTGCTAGACAGGAGGCCGAGAAGTCAGGGTACGCTGTTGTCGCCGTCGCCGGGAAGTCTGGTTTCTGGTGGAAGGAGAATGGGGTTGGAGGGTAGTGGGGGAGCCCCAAGGTCCCATTGCCTTCCGAGTGGGGATTTCGAAGGCAGCCCCAGATAGGGGCCGGGGGCTGGGGGCTCCTCATGCAGCTGTTGGCCACAGGATCCATCTGTGTCGGCAGCCTGCCTCAGTCTTCTCAAAGGTTTGTCTCTTTACCCTTACTAGATCCAAATATTTTTAAATGAAAAAAAAGAAAAAGAAATAGGAGGACAAAAAGTTCAACAGAAAATTCACCCCAAGAACCAAAGCAAAAACCAAAACTAAAGTCTTTCCTCAAAGTATGCACACATGTGGCCAGCACTGCACATGTGTGACACACACCTATATCGGACTTCACTCCTCGTTTCCTGCCCCCCAGCACACCAGTCTGCCTATTGGGGTGCCTTGTGCGTGTATTTGTCGCCGATGACACCGAACATTTTCACTGGCCCAGCTCAGCCCCACCAGCTGATGAGGAACTCTGTCCTGGTGCCTCGAAGCCAATGCCTGCAGAGGGCCGGCCCAGCGCTCTCTGAAACACACTTTTAAATCCTGCGGTGGGGAGAGAGTGACACATTTCTGAAGTGAAATGTGAGAGAGGAGAGGGTGGGGTTAACCCGTTTGCACACAAGATCCCCTCCAACCAAAACCGCGCAGGCAACTATTAATCATCAGAAACCTTATATGCACGTCTAATGGGATTTGCAGATGGAGACTTTTAAAGAAACATTGTCTGTATTTCTTTTTTTTATTTTAAGGACGGAGAGCAGCTCACACACACCACCTCTTTAATGTGCCTCCTGTAACACTATGAAGCTATTTTTATTGCACTGTTAACAAAATTCCCCAAGTCTTGGATTTGGAAAAAGCCTTAAGTCAGATCCAGAATCCATCAAATGCCAAATTCCAGGGAGTGAAGTGGGAATAAGTGCAAGAGACAAGCTTGCTGATTGCATTTGATTTAAAGGCCCTTCTGCTGCTGCCTGCAGAAAAGGAAGGTGGATTAAAAGAAATCTTGTTTGCAAGTCTGGGCAGCCCACTCCGCTCTGTAGAATAAAGAAAGACACACTCCAGTAAAAAGTCATTTCTCTTTCCCAAAGTGGCATTCTCACCTTTTCAGTAACTTAAGAAAACAACCAGATTCTTCCTTCCGCTCTTTAACCTCCGACTTATATGCCAATTAGCCACACTCTTCTCTGGAGGGGTTTTCAAGTCATTTTTCTCCCGGACAAAGGCAAGGCTCTTAAAGCAGTCCTTGAAGTTTCCCTGACCTCCTCCCACCTGTTCCCTCCCTCTTAACCTCCACCCACCTGCTTCCCTTTGCCTAGACCCCAGAGGTCGTGGCTTCCATGGAATCTGGTGCATGGAAATTGAAATCAGGGGGATTCCTTTTCATTTATTGTTGTAAATATGTATATATAACACAACATTTACCAACTCAACATTTTTCACTTGTGCACTTTAGTGGCATCGATTGCATTCATCACGTTGTGTGACAACTACCAAAATTGTCGCCAATTTTCCCATCACCAGAGCGGTCACTTGGGTCCTCCTGGATGGTACTTATCACAGGAGGACCAGCCCAAGGCCACCTCGACCCATCCGTCTACTCAGTCTGCTGGTCCCGGCTGATGTTTTCATCAGAGGCTGTCCTTCCCAACACACGAGGGTCAGATCTTCTCTCCCACCGACTATCTAGAGCAGCAGGGGCAGCAGGATTGGGGCAGAAGTGGGTCTGTGACCTTAACGGCAGCATCTCTGCCAGCTGGTCCAAAGATACCAGGGTTCCCTGAGGAGGGGCTTTGGGTTTAGCTCTGCAGCCTGAAGGGGAGGGAACCTGGGAGAAGGGTCCAGGAGGTGCTCCAAGCAGGAGATGTAGGCAGAGAGGAAGAGGGGCTCGGTGGTAAGTGGAGGCCACAACTTTACACAGAAATTCTGCCAATATACATCCCAGTGGGCAGGAAGAGCTGTAAAGAGATAGGCGTGTGTGTGTCCTTAGTCAGGAAACAGACACCCCTCTCCTGGAATGTGTGGTTGGGGCAGGGGGCGTTGCAGACAGTAGAGACAAGGGTGTTATAGGCACAGAAAAGACACATTGCTCTGCTTTATCCAGGACTTAGCTGTTTCACATACATTTCTCCTTTGAATCTCACAACTCTCCTATTATGGATAAAATAAGAACTTTTCCAGGTGAGAATACTGAGGCTCAGACAGATGAAGTGAGCTGCTCGGAATCACACAGCTAAGAAATGGCAGAACAAGGAGTTGCCCTCAGGGACCCAGGTGGCAAGTCTGCAGCAGCTTGATGCAGTGGAATAGGCACTGGCTTTGGGGTTAGACAGAGCTGAGTTCAAGTCTTAGGTCTGCCACTTCCCAGTTATGTACCCTCAGACAAGTCAATTCAATGAAATAAGCTTCCATTTTCCTCATCTGGGGTGACAATACTAGCTGATGTTCATCCACTGATCTCAGCACCTTACACATATTATCACCCCAATAGATCCCCATAAAAGCCCTCAGGCAAGTGCTATTCTCCTCATCACTACTGTTCAGAAGAGGAACCTGAAGCACAGAGAGGTTGTGTAACCTACACAAGGTCACACAGCTGGTCTGTGAAAGATTCAGGATCCCAACCCAGATGGCCTGGTTCTGCTACATCAGAATCTCCACCTCAGGGGTGCTTGTGAACTTTAAATGAAATCCTGTATGTGAAGTAGGTAATTAATACATGTAGCTCTCTTCCTCGATGATTCTGAAGAGAGAACATGTTGAGGAAGTGTCGAGGAAATTCTATGGAAACAATTCTGTGCTATGGGGGCTCTGGAAGGAATCCATAGGAGGCTGGGAAGAAGATCTGGCCTGTCAACTTCCCTAGGAAAACCTTCCTGGGGGCCTGGCAAGTAGGCCCGCAGGCTGTAACCGGATTCCCGCTCCAGCCTCCGCATCTGGCCGAGGGACCCCATTCTTGGAGGCCCAGCAGCCTGGCCCTTTGCCCCTGGGAAGGGTGGTCCCTGGGTCATGGTGGGGTGGGGGGAGAGGTCAGGAGGGGCAGTAGGGAGGGGGCATGGCAGGGGCACTCGGTGCTGAGAACGCAAGGCCCTGGCATCCCAGAGCCCGTACAGCTGCTGGTGTCTGTCAGCCACCCTGCGGGGGCACAGCCAGGGGCCTGCTGGCCTCTACATCTTCCTGACAGGCCCTTCTTCTGAGGCCAGGAAAAAACAACAACAGTTCCTCCCCTCACGGCAACCCATTTGTTAGATGAAGGCTGGGGACGAGCACCTTTAACCTCCTCAAAGTCAGCGTTTCCCCGTCAAGGCCCCGCAGGCACATGAGACAGAGATGGATGGAAATGGCTGTTTGTAAAACAGCCCTGTGGCCAGGCGGCCAAGGGGAGCAGGGTTTCCAGGAAGGGAGGAGATCCCGGTTTCTGGTTGTTGTTGGGGGTGGCAGGAGGAGGAAGAGGAAAAGCGTGACTTGGGAAGGAGGGCCCCTGAGGGGCCCTGAGGAGCGTGTTCTGCCTGAAAATACCTGAGCCATCCCAAGGAACTGCTGGAATTTCCTCAGTTGTGCACAACAAGCAATCAAATCCTTGGCACCCGACCTACTTCCGGGCTGGGCCTCCCCACCCACCTGTGCCTGGAGATGCACAATGTCAGGAAGAACTTGGGGCCTGAGGGTCGAAGCCCGGCTCAAAGTGTGACTTTGCTTTCCATTGACTGTGTGGTTTGGGGTAAGTCACACCTCTTCTCCAAGCCTCAGTTTTCTCACTGGAAAACGGTTCCAGCCTCACAGGGTTGTATGCAGATAGATGAGCCACCATCTGGGAACAGCTTCCTGCCTGTGAAGGGACTCACTGTGCCTTCTCCTTCCTGAAGTGAGCAGACAGTACAATGTGGAAACTGCCCATCCTAGCCCCCAGATGCCTTCTTTGTCAACATGACTTGAAGGTCAAGATCATAGTCTTGGGAGTCAGGAGGGTTGGGTTCAAATCCCAGTTTTGCCACTAATGAACTAGATAGCTTTGAGCCATGCTGTCGTGTGACTCTCAGTCTTCTCATTTGTAAAATGGGGATAAACCCATTGGGTTGCTGAGAGAAGGACAGTTTTCTGTCATGTATATATATATTTAAACTCTTGATGCTGGCCATCACTTGTCTGCTCCTAAGAGTGTAGGCAGAGGACTGGAAAACATGGTAACTCACAGAACGGCTTGAATTCTAAAGCTGGCTCTCGGGGTGGGACTTGTGCCCTCATTAAGCCTCAGTTTCCAGAACTGTGAAGTGGAAGCTCACCGAACAGAAAAAGTGCAGACACCTAGCAGGTGCTCAGTCAGCGGGCACCTGTAGGGTGTGCTGTGCCTGCATTAGTGAGAGGACATGTTGATTTGCAAAGGCGGGGCACAGTGCCACAGGTTAACCTTGCAGGGATGGGGTGGGGGGACTTGACTCTGTTAAGATTGAAGTCAGCAGACCAGAAAATTCAAAATAACTAAAGGGAAAACACAGAGTTTATTCTCCTTGATAAAGGAAGCCAGGAAGTGACACTTCAGGCTGGGGTGACAACTCCTCAGGGTCTCCAAGACCCAGGCATTGTTTCTCTCAGCTTCACTCCCCTCAGCACCCTTGGTCTCCTGGCCCAGGATGGTTGCTCACACTCAACCATCATGTCAACATTCCAAGTAGTGGGAAGGAGGCAGGACATACAGACTCTCCCCATCTCTCTGCCCCATTTTAAGGAAATTCATTGGAAGTTCTGCTCAACAACTGCTCTGCTCTTTGGATTCACTGGCCAGAACTATCTGCTTGGCCAATTCACCAAGCATGTAGCTGCAAGGGAGGCTGAGAGGTACTGTGTTTCACCACATTAATGGCTTCAATAATCCTTATACTCCCTTCCCCCTTCTCCTTCCGGTTCTCAAAGAAAGGATTTAAGGTAGATTTGCCAGATAAAACACAGGACACCCAGTTTAAGTATGTGCTATGCAATATTTGGAATATACTTATGTTAAAACTTATTTGTTGTTTATCTTAAATACAAATATAACTGGATGTTCTTTTCTCTTCCCCCTAAATCTGGCAACCCTAAGGCTAAACTCACCTTCAGGATGGAGAAGGCTCTGGCCTTGTCTTTGGATATTTGCACCTTGAC